GCCGAGCATCATGGCGGAGGCGTGGGGAGGGAGGCCCACTCAGTCCTCGGCAGCCAGGAAGCAGAGAGGGGAGGCCAGGTGAGTGAGCCTTCCAGGGCACAGCCCAGTGACCCACCTCCTCGGCCACGCCCACCTCCTCGGCCACGCCTACCTCCCCAGCCACACCCACCTCCTCAGCCACGCCCACCTCCTCAGCCACACCCACTTACTCAGCCACACCCACTTAGCCACCTCCAAGGCCACACCCACCCTCAACCACGCCCACTTCCTCACCCACGCCCGCCTCCTAGGCCACGCCCACCTCCCAGGCTCCGCCCACCTCCCAGGCTCCACCCACCTCCAGCACCAGTGATTTAATCCACCAAGGAGGCCGAAACCCTGTAATCCACTCACCTCCCAAAGCCCTACCTCCCGACAGGCTGCAGCCCTGGGCACAGGGGCCTTTGTGGGACACTCCAGGTCCACGCCACAGAGTCCCTCCTGCAGAATCTGACGGGGAGTCCATGCCACGCGGCCCTCCTGGGGTTTGGGGTGGCTGCCCAGATCTCTGCCTTCACCTTCACATAGCAGTCTCCCTGTGCGTGTCCCTGTATCCAGTGTCCCCTATTACGAGGACACAGTCATACCCGATCAGGAGCCACCCTAATAACCTCATCTTAACCTGGTCATCCCGAAGAGCCTATTTCTGAGAAGGGCACGTTCACAGGCCCTGGGGTGCGGATGCCAACATCTTCTGGGGGCACAACTCAAGCCGAATCACGAGGAACTCTCTTTCCAAGAACAAAACCCCCAAGAGATAGAGCACCAAAGAGCAGCCATAAGAAAATGAGGAGATGCAACATCTGAATAACGGAGCTGAGATAACCCAGGGCAGGCGGCCAGCCCTGAGCCAGCCCCAGCAGCTGCCCGGAGTCCAAGGCATAGCTATGAAGTACCAGTGCCAGGGCCCCTGACCTGGTGACGCTCTGGCTTCCCAGGGACGCCAAAACCAAAGCCACGCTGTGTTTGGGTCTGTGGTCAGGATGCCCAACCTTCCGTTCTGCAGCCAGGTGGTGTTTGGTGCCTGAGACTGGCCCCCATCAGTCCCCGTGAGGCCCCAGGATACAAAATGAGCTATCACTTTGGAAGCTCCCGTGGTTCCCAAGGGGCCCCTCTAGTGGGAAATGCAGATTGCAGGATACCAGAGTTCCCCAGGGCAAGGCAGGAACTAAGGTTCTGAGCACCGACCAGGAAGCAGGAATTTATCAGCTCAAAGCCTTACAAATAATTACAAATAAGCCTTACAAAAATACCATTCTACGGAGAAAGAGACGGCGGTTCAGAGAGGCTTGATGGTTAGCTGAAAATCAGAAACGTCATTCGTACCTAGTAGGCTTCAACTACAAGCCCCTCGCTCTGCTCACTAAAGCCTTGCTCCAAGTCGTATCTGTTGGTAGAAGGTTCTCACGTGTCACCACCATAGCAAAGAGAGTCAAGTGAGTCTCTTTCATAGACTTTTCAATCACTGTTCCAATAAAACAATTTGCAGGCATTAAAATCTGAATGTCATATGATTTTCACAAATCATACCTATTATTCTTTAAAAATATTTTCAGCCACTCATGCTGGGCACAGTGCACATGCCTGTCATCCCAACAACTTGGCAGGCTGAGGAGGGAGGATTGCAAGTTCGAGGCCAGCCTCAGCGACTCCGCAAGGCTGTAAGCAACTGCTAGCAAGAACCTGTTTCAAAATAAAAAGGGGTGGGGATGTCGCTCAGTGGTAAAGTGCCTCAGGGTTCAATCCCCAGCACCAAAAAAAAAATTTAAATAAATAAAAATTTTCAACCACTTGAAACCGTGAAAGTCCCGTGCGTGCCGCGGGAGGCCTGCAAGACCAAGACGGAACCCATAAAAGCTGCCTCCCTTATTGCTAACATAAGTCGGGCTCTGGGGACGCCCCTTCGCGTTCCGCAGAACTGTCACAGGGCTGGGAAGGTATAGCGGTCACAGGGAGGAGGCCCTGCACCACCCAGCCCCAACACAACCTTTCTGTGTGGCATCTCTTCCCATGGGGACATTTCTGCCTCTAGGAGGAGCGATGTGCCCGGCTGTCCCCTCTCAGCAGCCCCCTGAAGTGGCCCCTGCCTCTTCCGACTGGTGGCCTGGCAATGGGCCACCTGCTCCAGGGTGAGTGGGGGCCGCCCGGCTCCTCTCCCTCCCATTACCTGATCTGTTCCCAGGCTCTGTGGGTGCTGCCACCGAGATCCCCTCAGCAGGCGTCCCCTGGAACTTCACGGCATCCTGTAACAGCTGGTTTCGCCCTGCTGGGACGTCTCAGACTCGCACGTTTTTCCGACTGTCTCCCCTGCAGCCAGTGAGAGGACCTCCTGCCGACCCCTCTAAGTGGGCACATCCCTCTGTGCACAGGTCAGGAGGGCATCCCTTTATAACTGTCTCGCTCCGCGCCTGGGCCACCGTAATGGCAGGATATAGGCTGCACAGGTGCCCCTTGTCCAGCGTCCACTCTGCAGACTGTTGGTGGCTCATCCAGAGGCGGTAGCTCCACCGTCTCTTTCCTGGGGGCTTGTGGATTTGTGTGGGCATGAGAAAATCCTATTCTCAATTAACAACAGGGACTAAGCATGAACTAAGGCTTGCTAACACTGAGACAGTGGCGGGCGACCAGGGGTCCTGAGTTCTCCCACCGACTCCATAAACTGTAAAAAAATAAAAGAGGCAGTAAACATCACTGAAAAAAAAAATGAACTTTCAATGACGAGAAGAGAAGCCACATTCGTCCCAATGTTGCTTGTAAATGCAGAAACCTCAAGTATCTGTCAAAAATATCACAGGATTGGGCTGGGGCTGGGGCTCAGTGGCAGAGCGCTTACCTGGCCTGTGTGAGGCACTGAGTTCGACTCTCAGCACTGCTTATAGATAAATGAAATAAAGGTCCATCAACAAGTAAAAAACATAAAAAAAAAAAAAACCCACGGGATTTCGTTTTGCATGTGGCCCTGAACAGATTTGCTCCTTTCTTTCTCTGGGCCACACAAAATAGTGAAATTACGAAGCCTAAGACAATCCCAAAATGCTTTTCATCCCAGAATCAAAGTGCAGGGGGGAAAATGGGAAGAATGGGCGCCACCACCCGCGGCGGGGTCCTGAGCAGAGGCCAGGGGCACACTCCTGGGGGCCTGAGGTGGGCCTAGGGCTCCGACCACGTGAACAACATCCCTCTGTGTCCTGCGGTGACTTCTGGGGCCGACAGAGTGGGGGGACAGCCTGGCAGGACCTTGTCCACAGGGCCTTGGGGTCTGGGGCTGGGGACTACCCTTCCAGCCAGTACTGGACGGAGGCCCCTCCACCCTGGCCTGGCTCTGGACAGGAAGCTGAGCTCTTGAGAGTGACTTTCGACTCCCCTGAGGTCTCCAGGGGCCCCTGGATTCTAGTGTCCATGACGGAAGACCGCATTCCCAGATTCCTCGTGGGTCCCCAGCTGTTCGGGTGGGTTCTTCCAGGGCAGGAATGGCTAACGTGTGGCCGGGGTGTGGGGGTCAAGTCTGGACTCGGCTGGAAGGGAGCACTCTGCTCCGTGATGCTGGGCACAAGCCCGAGGGTGGACAGGGCCCACGGGTGGACGTTTTATGCCACTTACTGGCCTTGCAGGTCCAGCTCACCAGTGCCTGCAGGGAGGGCCGTTTGTCCCCCTCCCACCTGCACACACCACAGTCACCCTGTGCGCTGTACTGGGCAGCCCTGGAGAATGGCTGGGACCAGGGACACGCTCCGGGGCTGGCTGCTTTCCTGTGCCCCCCGGACCCAGGTCTGCCCAGCCCCAGCCCCCTCCTGTTTCTGACCATCCTGTGTCCTTTCTAGGGAAGTCGGGGCCTTCCCTGCAGTGCCCAGCTGGGCAACGCATCTCCCTCCAACGACCACTGGACGGGACCTTGCTCCACCTCCAATCCCACAGGGCGGCTCCAACTCCACCTGGACACCACCTCAAGGTTCTGAGCGGCTCTCTCTGCACTACTGCCGAGAGGTCAGGGCGAGATGCCCAGGGCCTGACGCTGACCCTGCCTCCTGCCCCCAGCAGAGGTGGCCAACTCACAGGACCGTGGCAGCAGATGGTTGGCACAGGCCCATGCACACCGCAGCTGGAGAGGGGTCTACCTTTAGTCAGGGTGGCTTCAGCCAGGTCTTCCTGACCATGTCACCTAGCCCCACACCTCAGCAGGGGCCTGGACGCTTGCCCTCAATGCTGGAGCACTAGACAAGAAGCCCAGGCCTCCTTTCCCATCCCAGGGCTGCAAGGAGCCGGCCCTCTCCTAAGAGGCACACCTGCACCATGAGGGTCCAGCACTGGGTGCAGGCCAGCCTCTGGCAGTGGGGCCCCCAGGAAGGCGGGGGGGCGGGGCTTGCAGATGACCTCTCATCTAAAATTGGCAGGAGAGTGCTTGTAAGGTTTCCTTCCAACAGAACCTCTGCCACTCAGGACCCCCATCAGGGTCCCCAGGTGGGCACAGTGGTGGCACACATCTATAATCCCAGCTCAAGAGGCTGAGGAAGGAGGACTGCAAGTTCAAAGCCACCTCAGAGACTTAGCGGGGACCTGGGTAACTCACGCCGTCTCAAAAAAATAAAGGGCTGGGGACATGGGTCAGTGAGTGGTTAAGCGCCCCTGAGTTTGATCCCCAGTATTGAAATGGGACCAACAGGCCATCTGGAGGCTATCTAGCAGCCGGTGACCCTGTCCAGCCCCATCCCCTGTCCCTCCACCCCTGCAACGTCTCCCAGGTGCATGGACACCCTTTTTTCCACATTTCCCAGCTCAGCTGCATTTTCATCTGCGTCTCAGAGGCACTGGCCCCCAAAGACTTTAGCTCTGAAGGACGGAGGAGCCAAAGGAGTGGCCCTGGCCCTGGTGATCCTGCCCGGGCTCACCCCACAGGGGCAGAGGGGAGCCACTCTCCTCAGGGCAGGTGCTCTGCGCGAGACAAAAATAAAGATTTTCCAATGTAAATTTTACTATTTTATTTGTGAAAAAACTACAAGCAGAATTCATAAATAGACATTTCTATTTAAAGCAGGAAAATGATAAAGTGGCTTCTAATAACATAGTCGTGCACATGCCAGTAACAGGAATATATTAACATCTTTTATTTGCTAGACAAAGAGCAGTGTCCAATATAAATTTCCCAAAACATTTAAGACCTGTGAATTTCTGACCAGTTCACAAAACCACCAACTGACACTTTAGCATGAAGAGAAAACAAACCTAACAGACCGTCAGCTCTAGAGACCTTACAGAGCAGAAACTTCCAAAAGCGTTATACAAGCTGTCTTTCTGGGCAAATGGAAAATAGAGCTCGTATAATACATGAACAAAAATTCACAAGGTTAAGATTATGTTTTGACATACTTAACAAGCATTCTCTATTTGTCTCCAACAAACAAAGCTAAGGAAATAATGTAACCATCTTTACACAGTAAATTAAGGTTACGAGTCATACACAAGAACAGAACTGCTTGCGCATTAGAAACTGTCCGGCTCCATCGTCCAACTCTAAATGTCGGCTCTTACACCATTTTCGGTTACATACAAGCAAAGGTTATTATATATTCAGCAATTAATAAACTTTCAATAATTTAAGATACGGTAGCTTAAAAAAGTAGACTGAGAATGGTCTCGGTAAGGCAGGTGGAACATCGTATGGAAGGACTCACAGAAGCTCCTGCCGACGTTGTGTTTGAATATCCAGATTGGAACGGAAAGGTTTGGGTTCAAATAGTGGGAGTCGGATGTCTTGACCTCTGTCTTAACTGCGCGACGCAAGCAGAGCGGACAGGTCAGCTGCCGCACGCGAGTGAAATCGTGTGGTGTCGAAACAAAGGGAAACTTGCGTTAACACTGTGCTTTTTGTTTTGATTTTTCACCTGCTTTCTGTGCCACTGAACACTGAGTGTTTCTGGTCCTTTCAAGGTACATCCTCATCACCTACGCTAGCTAGTGTTCAGACGCACTGCCTAGGAACCGCAGGGCGGGACGCAACAGCAGGAAGTGGGATCCCGTTTCCAGAGATCGTGCCTGAGGGATGTCACCAATTTTGGGAATTCAAGGTCTTGGGTACCCACCACCTCGCTGCCCCAGACACGCGGCAGCTGCGGGCTGGCCCTGTGACGTCTGGTGCTTGGACAACCCGCCCTCCGTCTTGCCCCAACAGCAAGCTGGGCCCACTCGTCCTAAAGCCAACCCCCCCCGCCCTTCCTTCACCTCTCCCCATTCTTTAATTGATCACGGAGGCAAAACCAAAAAACCAAGACACTGGCGATGGATCACTGAGCAGCCTCTGAGTAGCTGGATCGTCAGCTTTTCCACTCATTAGGGGTCCAATCACTTTACATGAAACTGATTTGCGAAAGCACACAGTGTTCGTGAACAAAGTGCATGCCAACACTGACTGGTTCCAAAAGCAGTGCAACCCACGAGTTTGGTGGCATTTAATTTTTTTAAAAAAGTTAATTAAAAAACTTAGCAATTCCTTACACCTCTGGAAAATAAATATGGCTGACTAATTTACCCTCCCTGAGACCCGTAATAAAAGGAATATTAAAACTTTTTAGAAGGAATGTCTTTGCAATATCCCACTAATATTAAAACGTGGATTTAAAATTCATAGTCAAATCACTATGTATTATATATTCTGATGCTTATAGAAAGCACCTGATTTCCTTTGGTTCATTAATAAATACTTTAAAAAGGTATTTAAAAAGATAAGCACAGCTTGCATCCCAGATACAAGCATTATTTTAAAAAGAAGGGAACATTGTCCATGCATTTGAGAATAGGACCACAGCAACGAATGGCACTGCTTTATAATCTATACCTTCGAGGACAAATTTAAATTATGGTACATTGGTGACTACAGCATCGTTTTAATGTAAATGTGAGAGGAACCTTTCCTGCTGGCTACTCAATTCAAGCTGTTAATTTTTTTTTCCTTTTACTTGTTGCCTCCAGATAGAAATTAGTTCTACTATTAAGGAAACCAGGTTCTTAACACCAAAATGTGGTGCTTCATTACATCACACACCCTCCCGTGAGTCCTTAAAGCAAGATCAAATAAAGGAAGGTTAACATCAAGTTCCCACGCCCGAAATGACTCTGGTGTACTACCAACTCAGTGGATGTGAATGGGAAAGTCGGGGAGAAGAGAGACCCCCAAATCCAAACAAAAGCAAAGCAAAGCAAGCAAAGGCCGTGAATCAAGGAGGATGGTGTCACTAGATCAGATGAGTGGCTGTTCCTCCCCCCAGGACAGTCAAGAGAGGTCAAGGAACTCTGGAGCACGCTCTCTGGCCAGGGTCTCTGCCAGGGGAGGCCCTCGGAGGGCAGGCAGCATGGCCTTACCCTGCGCCTCGGCCACTCAGTGCCAGAGTCCCCACCCTGGGGGATCGAGCCGGGTCTCCAGCACGGGCTCCACTGGGGGCCTCTCGTGTGGCCGTGACCTTTGCAGAGGAGAATGAACCACAGTAAGTTTTAAGAACGAACGAGGAGGGAGTCTCACGTCTGCACCGGCAGGGCGAGGGTCTGAGTGACGGGGACGTGAGGCAACCAAGTCCAACTGTAAAGCCCCCACTGCCAGGCCCCTGGAGGTGGAGGCCAGGGTGGCCCTGGGGGCCCAGACCTGAGGGGAGGCCTGGAAGATGGGTGGACCCAGGGAGACCCCGTGAGGCCGGGTGCTTGTGCAGAACAGCAAAGTCAGCGTGTGACCGTGACTTACACCAACACGTGGCATTCTGGAGCTCCTTCAGGTACTCCTGGGTGACAGAGCCCCCCACTGCACCACCTGTGATTTGTCATTACCCCCTGCCAATGCAGGCCATCTGGAGCAGTCTTTACCTCTCAGATCACATTGTTTAAAAAATAGAGAATCTTTCTATCGTCAGGACTCATTAGATGAGAGTCAGGTTCCCACGTGGGTGGGACACACTCCACGCGAGACCGACTGTGACTCAGTCTCAGCACTTTCTGGAAGGGACTGTCCCAGATCTGCACTGTTCCATGTTGTCTTCACAGTGTATCAAGCACCAGCGCTGCCGTGGATTGGTTTCAAATAACCCTTTATATATAATTTTATATTTATATATATATAGTTATATCAAAACTGATAGTACATAGTATAACTGGAAGAAAGAACTAAACTTAAAGGATATGCTGAAAGGATGGAGTTGTGAACACAATAAATAAAAGTTCCCCCCCCCTCCCAACGCCCCCTCAACAAAACAAAAACAAAAAACCAGTTGTCATGTACATGGAAAATTGTGCACAGCAGATTTTTTTTTTATATAAAAAGTAGATTCAGGAGCACATCCAATTATAAATGATTGTTAGGAAAATCATATAAAACAATGGAATACATAAAAGTGTCACGAGTAACCGTCAGGGTGCGAAATTCCTGGGTGGCCAGATGCCCGTGGCGAGCAGGAAGCATCCTGCAGAGGCGGTGGCCGTCCACAGAGACTCCAGGCGCAGGCGCACGGGCAGGTGGCGGGCTGCATCCTATACCCTGATGCGAGGTTCTCACTGCCCCACGTGCGGCCTCAGAAGGACTCGTCCTGCACTGCCGACATGTCGCCCTTTGGCGTGGAGGAGCGGGAGGAGCCCTTGTCTGTGCTCTCTGACCCCGAGCTGCTCTGGTTCTGCTGTTCTGACCCTGCACTGGAGGTCACTGTGGACGAGGACGTTGAAGAGGAGCGAGTCTTTTCTTTAAAGTCTGTGATAATGACGGTGACGTTGCCCACAGTTACTGCCAACTGCTGTGCGGTGCTCCTGTCCACGTTTTTCAGCCGGGGCCTGAAATGCCAGGGGGAAGGGCGGTTAAGAAAGGTGTGGTTTAACAGCAGAGCGTCACCCCACCAGGACCTGCTGGCACCGGGCTCCAAATCCAAGGGGCCTGTCACGGATGCCCAGGGATGCCAAAATGGCCACTGCCGCTGCCACCCACCCACCCAGCTGCCACCCACCCACCCACCGCGGGTGCTGTCAGCCGGCTGAGCTCCGCCCATCACAATCCTGTTACTCACCGTCCCCACCCAGCTCCTCAGCCCACCCCCAGGGGCCGCCCTGGGCTCTGCACTGTGACTACCGGTCAGCACCTGGTCCTGGCCCCGCGTACCTCGAGGTGTGATTCGTTTCGCTGGTCTTTGCCGTGGCGTTGGCAGACTGTATGCTGTTGGCTTCGCTAGGAGGGTCTTTCAGGATGTCCGACTTTGGTCTGGGGAAGAGGCAGGGCGTTAGCTGCGTGCACCCCAGGGAGCCCCCCCACAGCGGAGCCGCCCCCCGACTCACTTGGTTTTCTTGTTGGTGTTCTTCTTGGTGACACTAGGACTGATCTCCTTCTCCTTCTCTGGCTTCTCCTTGTCCTGCTTCTCCACTTTCTCCTTCTTCTCCTTCTTCGGGGGTGGTGGAGTGGCATACTGCTGAGCCACCTGTTGTGCCACCAGCTGAGAGTTGATCCGAGGTTTTCTGAAACATTCAAGGAAAGGTGGCGTTCAGTGGTTTTAAGTATTTTAAACCTCACTTTTGCTTTGCTGCCTTGTTAGGTATTTCATTTCAGACATGTGGCGACTCAAAGCCAGATTCTGTGGTGCTGCTTGAACGTTCATTTCCATACAGATAGACGAGGCACAGAATTTCTCCTTGTTCAAAGGAGGTGACACACTCACACTGCTGTGTGGCCTATAAAAGAGGACAGTATTCTCAGAGTGCCAAGAACACTACTTCTTTTGAGCTGTCAAGATTATACTGACTGACATCTTTCAAACACTCCTGCAGCACAAGGTTAATCTCGTTTTATTAAATGGACATCAGTAATCCATTGAAAAGAATGAAATTAGAAGTGTGACTCCACTCCTCCGTCTAACTGCTCCGGCGCTCCCTGCAGCTATGAGTGGCAGGGACGACCCACAGGAGCGAGAGGACGCCGCAACTGCACTCACACCAGCTCCCAGGGGTGCAGACTGGAAGTCGCTATGGGAAAGTCAGACAGTGGCATATTCATCGTGCCATCAGCCGTTACGTCTGTGCCAATCTCCAACTGACACTGGCGCACAGCACTATGCTCACAGAATCCGCGTGGTGCGGAGCACTTTCCAACGCGTGACCACTGGGACCCGAGGGAGAGAGGAGCGGACACCTGTGCAGTTCCTCCCCGGGCGGCCCTCCTCACCTGCCACAAGACATCCCAAGGCTCCCCACGGGTGCCAGAGCCACTCGCTGGGTGGAGACAGACCTGATACCCCCACAACTACCAACTGATCTCCGGCCAAACAGCTCACATAGTGTGGGGATGCTGGACAAAGGGACAACTCGTGTGCAGGTCAGGACAACATGCTATGCTGCAAGTTCTTTGCATGACTTGGGAAAGTGTGCAACTAAAAATCCATGAAATGTTTATTTCTGGAATTTTCCACTTGAATTTTTTTTAAAAAAACTGTGGTTGACCACGGGTAACTGAAACTGAAAAGTGAAACCTGGGATACGAGGACTATTGTAACGCTAATTTCCAAAGACCCCCTCATCCACACAGACATGCCCTGCGGAGAACACACTCCCCAGGTACGAGCCAACTGGGCCGTCCACAAGCTGAGGGACTGGGGGCCTCAGAGCAAGGACCACCCTCAATCTCGAGCTCCCCTCCATTCCCCAGCACAGACAAGCATGGCTGGCCCAAGAAAGGGGGCACCCGGACCAGCGTCAGAGTTGGTCTGCGAGGAAAATAAGAGGCTGGGAAAACCCAGGCGATTCTGCTGCTCTTCCTGGGGTGCAGCAGGGGAGGACAGCCACCCCAGACAGCAGCAGAGGAGCCTGGGTGCTGCTTGTGACGGGGCTCAGTGGTGAGCACACAGCTGCAATCTCTCCGCTGGCTTCCACCCAGCCTCTAGGTGTGCTGGCTGCAGAGCAGGCCACGGGGCACCCAGGCCATGGGCCACGGCCAGACGCATGCACTCATGGACCTAGAGGCCCCCAGAGGAGGGGAGCCAAGGCCCTGCAGACACTAGCACGTCCTCTAAGCCTCTCCGTCTCTTCATACAGTCTAACAACTGAAGTGGCAGCTACTCTGACCCATGCCACCATCTTTAGAGGAGGATGGCCTGTTAAGGCTCACAGATGACAGTGACACTGTATGACACTTCACAGCCTTCACGGGAATACATCACAAGCCTCAGAGAGCTCACAACAAACCGCCATGCGTAAACCAACCCTCAGGTGCTCAAACAAAGTGCCTCAGCCAGTTCAGTGAAAAAGCGGCTTGAACTTTATGCCAAAGAACACCTCCAGGGAGATTTTCAATTAAAGCCACCATGGATAGTTTCCTCCAGAGAAAGGCCACTCAAAGATAAGAGGGTGGCCGACCCTGACGTATGGGCTCCCCCAAAAGAGAATCAGAGGCCAAGGGCCTGGCCACAGAGAGTCCCCCAGCAGTCACCAGCCTCCCCAGCCCGAGTCTGAGAGGCTGCTTGAGTCGGGACATCGGGCCACCAGGCAGTTTCATGATGCCACTCACAAGCTACGCCTTAACTGCCAAGCCACCATGCACCCTGCTGGCAAGGACTACACGTGTTCAGCACAGTGCTAGGCCAACTTAGGAGGTAAGTGAGCACGGGACAGAAAGGCAATGTGGGGTGCAGGCTGGCGCAAGGGTGCAGCTCTGGACTGGGAGGAGACCCAGGCACGTGGGGTCACCAGAAGCCAGGGACAGGACAGCCAGAAAGAGCACAGAGCTGTCACTGAGCTCTTCCTGAGAAGAGTGGGGCCGGGGCTGAGGTGGTCTGCTGCTGAGCGGCAGGCACTGCGCAGGCCAGCTCCTGGGTCATGAGTTCCAGAGAGGGACAGGCCAGGTGAGAGGGGTGTGTAGGGCAAAGGACAGTCCATCTTGGGGAAAGGCTTGGTCCCTTCCAAAGAGTCAAGAGGGCTCTGAGGGAAAGCCAGTGGACACTTCTGCCACCAAGAGGATGGTCCGAAGAGCTTCTCGGCTAGCTGTTCCCACCATGAAGTGGTGACAGGAGGGGCTGGGTGGGGTGGCGGGCAGCATTTGGGAAAGTTGGAAAACAGACCTGGAAACCATGGAGATGGGAAGCGGCACCAGGCTTGCCGGGTTGTACGTGGGAGGAGCTGGACATGGAGCAGCAGGAGGCGGCTACCTAGCCCACAAGGCCACAGGGCGCTCTCAGCTCCCCAGGGCTCAGGGCTCGCCCAGCAGCAGCGATGGTGAGCGCTCTGCCTCTGGAGGTGCTGGCAATGCGGCTAGGAGGCTCCCAGAGTCAGCTCCAGCCCCGCCCAGGTAAACAGTGGCCAGAGCCCTGGTCGGGAGGAGCACAGGGCTGCCAGCCTCGCCCTGCCCGCCCCTGAGACTTCCGACCAGAGCAGTGACAAAGTGTGTGTTCCTTCCTCTGCACACATCAAAGTTTCCCAGAAAGAAAAGGACCCAAGGCTGTGTGGGATCTGACCATAACCAAGAATGGGACGTCTGCGGGCCCTCGTGTTGTCTGGAGACTCTCTTGCTCGGATGTTGTATACACGTGGCATCCTGTGGGCCCTCCGATGCCCTCTGACAGCAAAGCACATAGGCACTCATTACTTCTGACCAATTAACTGTCTTCAATCCAGGTGTCTCAGCAAGAACAACAGTACTTCTAGGGTCAGGGGCACTTTCCTAAGTAGGGAACCCACCTTTGGGAAGAGGGAGGAAAGCCACCAGTGGGTACGCACTCTCCCAAGGAAAGGTGCTCCTGCGAGCACGCGCTCTGGGAGCACTGCCACCTGCCCCTTCCTTCTTTCCAGGCCAAGACTCTCCGGGCTGCCAGGAGAGCAGGATGAGCAGCCCTGACGGAGGGAGCCTCAGTCCTTAGCCCGCCCTCCAGTCCTGGGGGCCACCCTCCAGACGAGGCATGCCAACTGTGCCCGAGCAGGAGAGGCCATCACAGGGCAGGCACACAGTGAACAAGACTGAGCACAGCATGCTCCAGAGAAGGACTGTCCACTCCCTTTTATGAATTCAGAATGCAGGAGGACAATGTTAAACTTGGCCATGGTTCAGTAATGAGGCGTTCAAACCCAGTTCTGCCCGGACTCTCCAGCAACTGCTCTCAAAAAGGTGTCCACAAACTGCGTGGCACCTGAGACATCCCAGCAGACTGTGTGTGTGTGTGTGTGTGTCTTGGGTGAGGGGGTGACTTGGGCACAAGGTACTGGGGATGAAAGGCTCTGGTGAAGGCACAATTTAGGCGGACACCTCCCTGAAACCCCGGGCCCTCATTAGTTTCCCCTCACCACACTCGGGCAAGAGGGGGCTGCTGGGTTGTCCCTGAAGAAGAGAAAAGGGCGTGGTGAGCTGGCTAGGGTGCGTTCCTTGCTTCCTACTGCACCTGGAACATCCCCTTAAGAAATGAATCCCATCCCGACAGTGAACCCTGCTGATCAGTGAGAAATAACTTCCCACCAACCCAGGTTGCTTCATGGAGTCCCCACAAGCGACAAGCTAAGCCGCTGTGTTGACAGGCGGAGCTTCCTCACATCTGCAGCCGACAGCTTCGGAGCCCAGGGCTCCCAGCGCACAGCCAAGCCAGCCGTCGGCATGGCTGCAGCTCCCAGCATCTCTGCCTCAAACTGAAACCAAACACGGCAGCCACAACCACCACCGGCCAAAACCAAAACCACGCGTTTCCCGCATTAAGTGTGGCACAGGCAAGTTTCCGGAATCTTCTTCAAGATGACAACTTCTTATGAAAAAATACCACCTTCTTGAAATTAAAATGTGCTATGAAATTTCAATAACAGGCATCCTGAGGAAAACACGTCTATCTGTTTGCATTTAAACAACAAATTTTATTTCACAAGAGTCCATTCCATAAAAACTAAAGCAAATCTTTACTTGGGGACACCCACGATCTCTGAAGCAGCAGCATCCCAGAGAGTGCCCGTGGGCACAGGAAGCCCTTCTGGACAGCCTGGGTCTGTGTTTACTCCTGGGTGCACTCAAGTGCCTCTCACAGTTCAGCCACAGGAAGTGACAAGCACAAGGCCACCTTCTGGTGTCAGCAACACAAAGCCAGAATTTTTTCAATGAACTGTCTTCGAATGCACCTTTCAATGAATGAATGCCACCTTTCAATGAAACTACCTCAAAGGCTCTGGACCCATACCATCAGCTCAACTGAGGGGCGGGCGGGGGTGTGTGTGTGCAGGGGGTGCTTTACCATCCTGAAAACTCACATCTTCACCACCAACCTTGAGTTCTGTGTCCTCCGTGGCACTGGACATTTGTAGTGAAGAATGGTCAGCTAGGAGAGGGCCCTTCCAGAACAAGCACTCTCTTAGCAAGAGTAGGTGGCATCCGCCCCCCCAGGGGGGGCACTGCACTGCAAAGGAGCCTCCTCTGGGGACTCTCTTCCCTGCATTCAAGTGCTCAGGTCACACCCACGCACAGTGTTTGACTAGGATGCATTTGACCATCAACACTAAGT